AGGGGGGGAGAAAGCTGTGACATCCACATGACATCTCACTGGTGTATCCACATTAAAGTGACTATTTCCTTTCCATTCTCATCTCTATGGAATCAGCCATGTCCACCCTCCGCAGGCTGGTCACACACACAGTGGGTCACCCAGCTCGTGCAATCTGACACAGCTGGAGAGAAGAGCCTGGTGGCCTACTATGTGCTGGGACGAAGGCGTCCGGGACAAATCAGCTGGGAGAAAGGCGTGAAGATGGTGTGCACAGCCTGCGCCCGCCTGTGCTGAAAACAAAGACATACGCACATCAACGCCTCGCTATACTTTCAAAAAAATTCTAGAAGGATACACGCTGATAGTAAACCTACTGCCCCGGGAGAGACTGGAGAGACGGAGAAGAGGTTGGAGCTGTCCGCTGGGGGCAGGAAGGGCGCAGGCCGGCCGTGCAGTTCCGGCCCAGGTTCATAAAACAGCTGAGCAGGGAGAGGAGCAGGGAGGGGAGCAGTGAGAACGAGCCCCTTTCTTCTCACGTCCCCGAGCATCCTCTCCGCGGGGATCAGGCACAAGGCGTCACAGCTCCGCGGTCACAGACCCGCATGGGCTGCGGGCTCCAGGAGGATGGCCATCCGTGCACCGAGAACTTAGCAAGCCCCCCACACGTGACAGGCGTGATGTCCTTTCACCCCCAGATCAGGAAACGGAGACGGAGACTCAGAGAGGTGAAGTGACCGACCCAAGGTCACCCAGGTGCTAAAGGGGAGGATGAACGCAGTTCCGCCGGGCCCAGAGCCTGTCCCCCTCCCCGGGGGTGTGGGGACGGCATCCTCAGCTTCCCCGAGCTGAGCTGGTGGGAGGGAGAGCTGGGCGGGGCCAGCCAGGGTCCGGGGTCCCTGAGGCCATCCCTCACCTGACAGCGGCCTGCCCTAGGAGGCCACGGCGGACTCCAAGCTGAGGGTCTGACCCCAGGGGACAGTCCCTAGGGAAGGTCCCTCTCCTACACCAAGCACTGGAGAGGCCACGGGTGGGGTGGGGGAGGGGGAGGAAGGCAGAGAGGCCCACTGAGTCCCAGGCCAGTCCGGCTCTACCTTCTGAGAGCTGTGAAACATCAGCGAGCCAGCTGACCTCTCTGAGCCCATTTTCTCCTCCCTCATTCCTGCCTGCATAGCACCTCTGGTGTGTTTTTATTTTTTATTGTGGAGCAACACTAGATACAAAGATGGCACAGGAAGTTCCCACACCCCTTCTCCCAGCTTCCCTGGACATTAGCTAACATCTGGCAGGTTTGTCAAAAGGGCTTAGTTGCCATTGTCCAATACGATTACCGAATAAGCTATAGACTTATCCAGGGCCCCAGTTTCCCACAGTGACCCGCTCCTGTTCCGGAACCCACCCAGGCCCCACCTTACACGCAGTCGTCACAGGTCCGTGTCTCGAATCTGCGACAGCTCTTCAGACTGGCCTTCTTGCTTGTCAGGCCTGTATGATGGCAACACTGACTTAATTTGAATGTATGCAGGTCTGCATATGAACATGCTCAGAGGCCAAGAGCCCATTTAAAATATATTTTTATTGATTTCAGAGAGGAAGAGAGAGAAACACCGATGATGAGAAAGAATCATTGATCGGCTGCCTCCTGCACACCCACAGTGGGGATGGAGCCCGAAACCCAGGCATGTGCCCTGACGGGGAACTGAACCGTGACCTCCTGGGTCATAGGTCGACCCTCAACCACTGAGCCACGCCGGGTGGGCCCATTCTCGTTTCTTCACAAGCGAGGCGCTCAGCCCAGTCCACACTCCACAGGAAGAGAGCCGCGCTCCGACTCCTGGATGGGACGTATTCCTAGAGCATTTGCAATTCTTCTCTGAGGAGAGTCATCCCTTCCCCACATCGGTATGGACTCGTGGACCTTTTCCGGGGGCGACGAGCCGATAATCCCATCGCTTATTTTGTCACTCGCACTGCCCAGCCTCGGGCTCCGGGCTCCCTCTCCCAGGCCAGCGTCCGGCCGACC